TGTCCCCAGCTCCCCAGAGATCTGATTCAAACCATAGGACCACAACAGTGCAGGGATGGTCCTGGTCTCTCCAGGGTGGGCCCATGCCAAGATGATGGAGGAGAAAATCCAGCGGCTGGTCACAGGCACTCACCATCAAACCGAGCCAGCTTGCTGGTGTCACCCAGCTCTGAGGTGACAGGGATGGCCTGCCGCACCTTCATGTTGGTCTCTCTGCGAGCAAGGAGGCACCACATGTGGGGTTAGAGGCAGCAGATGCTCCCTAGGTTTGGGTCCCCAGCAGTTCCTGCCCTGCCCTGATCTCACTCCTACCTCTTGCCTTCCCCTGTCACTCGAGGTGAGCAGGGGTTACCTACCCGTCCAGCTCTGCAGTCTCTATGTAGCACAACCCATGGGGTTCACTGCTGGAGAGCAGGAGGAGGTCAGCCTGCCAGGAGAGACATGGGAAGGGTTGTGCTGACACCAGGTCCCCTACACCTTCCACAGGGAAGCCAGGGGCCAGCAGGGTCCAGAACCAGGTGTCCTCAGCATGGTGCTGCTGGCACCCTGGACACCAGCTCCTGAAGGACCCACATCAGGCAATCTCCAGAGCTCCAATGCTACATCCTAAATGCAACTTCCCAGTGGGGAAGTCCCTGACACCTCCACCCCAGGTGATGGAGGAGCACCATGCCATGCCACTGTCCCTGTGTGTCACCAAGCCAGGACCACTCCTGTGTTGGGGCCACACTCACCGCCACGAACTGGTTGTTCTCCAGCTTGATGATGTCTCCAACACGGACGTTCATCCACTGCTCCTGTCGGAGGCTGCAGGGAGACAGCGCAGTGGAGTTAGGTGGGAGTTGGCAGCGCTCTGTTCCCCTGCCTGCAGCCCTGTGCCATGTCCTGGGGGGGGCATGCCCCCTCCCTGGCTGTCCTGTCCCTGTGACACTCACACTCCACTGATGAGCACCTGAGACTGCCGGTTGTTCACCTGGTTGTCACTTTTATGGCGGAACTGGGTGCAGAGGGGAAGACAGCGCCGTCAGCTCTGCTGGGGATGGGGTCCTGCAGCCCTACCCCTGCACACCCGCACCAGGGTCACAGCCCCAAGTCCCCTGGCCCTGACAGAGGGGCACGTGGGGAACCACTCACATAGTCGTCCGTGGCATCTTTGACAGCTGTGATGGTTAAGACAAGAACCAAAGGCACGATGGTGGTGAACCAGGAGAGTGAAGAGATCTGTGGGATCAGCTGGGGACAGAGAGTGGGAGCTGGGGGGAACCAGGCCAGCCCCAGGCCCACATCATCCCTGCTCAAGGGTGTCAAACCCACACTTCCCAAGGGCACGATGTGTCCTGGGCCCCCCCAGCTGCCCAGCCAGGGAAGGAGATGATGGAAGAGCCCCATCTGGCTCCCCAGGACCCCAGCACTCACCTGCAGGATGAGGAGGAAGAGGAAATAGGTGTTGGCCACTTCCTGGAACTGCTCGAAGAGGTTGACAGGCAGGAAGGTGATGATGTTGTACTTGGATGTCTTGATGCAGTTGCTCTGGGGATGGACAGGACAAAAGGGGGGGTTCATGAGCTGCTGAGGCCCCTGTGGCCCCAGCATCACTCTGAGAGCTGCAGCTCACCATGGCCCTAACCTGGGATCTCAGCCCAGCAGCTCCTACCCCTCCTCTAACTCTTCCTCAAGAAGCAGATTTCTTCCCCTGGGTCACCCACCAGTACCCAGGGACCTGTCTGTACCCAGGGACCAACCAGTACCCAAGGAGCGGCTGGTACCGAGGGACCACAGTGCAGTGATGAGCAGTGCAGTGCTGTGCCACGCAGTCTTGTGCAGTGCAGTGCAGTGCAATGCAGTGCCGTGCAGTCCCGTGTGATGCTCATCAGCACAATTGTCTCAGGGATAAACATCTAATTTTAGCTGTAACCCCCCCGGCGCTGACCCGGTGCCAGCCCCCTCCGAGCCGCTCGCTTCCCCCCCAGAGCACTCACTGCGTACTGGAACTTCTCGTTGTAGTCCCGCGCGTTGGCTCGCACCCGCCGCTCCTCCTCTGCAACACAGCCCGGGCGCTGCCCTCAGCCCCCCGACCCCTCCCGCCCCCGCCGCCCGGCCCCGCCGCGCCCGCACCGCCCCGCGGGGCTCTCGGACCCGCGGCCACTTCTCGGGCATCTCCCGGGGCACGATCACGGCTGCGGCTCCATCCCGCGCTGCCGCAGCCCCTGCCCGGGCCCTCCCGCTCCGCCGCGGTACAGGGGCCCACCGGGGCCTGCCGCGGCCTTACCGGCCTCCCCCCCCCGCTCACCTGGGGCCCGGCGGGCCGCGCACCGCTCCATGGCCCGCGGCCCCGCAGCCCATGGGGAGCGGGCGGGCGGCCGGTACCGGGGGCCGGTACCGGGGCCGCTGCGGCCCCGCTCCCGCTGCCGCGCTGCTGCTGCCGGCTCAGCGCCCCATGGCCGCGGCGGCGCCGGTCGGCGGCGGAAGTGATGGGGGGGGGAGCGGGGTCCTGTGAGAGGGAGGTGGCACCTCACGGGCACCCCACGGACACCCCATGGCCGCTGCATGGACACGCCACGGGCACCCCATAGACAACCCATGGCCGCTGCATGGACACCCCACGGGCACCCCATGGATACCCCATCGACACCCCACAGACACCCCGCGGCCTCAGGGCTCGTTTATTGGTGCAATGGGGGCCGTGGGGGCCGGTGCCGCCGGTTCGGGGCAGGGGGTGTCTCCAGCGTCACTTCTGGGGCAGCGTCCTCCCGGTGTCCTCCTCTGCGGGTGAGGTCTTGGGGTCCGTGGGGACGGCAGCGATGCTGAGGACCGGGGGGCTCTGCTCTGCTGCGGCAGCGCCCTCCGGGAGCGGGTGGTGAAACGCCACGAGGAGCTGGTACAGGGCTGAGCCCACAGCGGCTCCCAGCATCGGTGCCACCACCGGCACCCACCACCACCCATTGCCCCTGCTGGGGACGGGGCACAGTGGGCAAGGCGTCACCCCCATGCTCCCCACCTTCACCCCCTTACCTCGACCCACCTGAAGACCTCTGTGCCCCAACCTGCCACATAGGTGAAGAGTCGGGGCCCAAAATCCCGTGCGGGGTTCATGGGGCAGCTGCAGTTGGAGCCCAGGGAGGCCTCGAGGGAGAACACCAGCAGGGCCACTGCCACTGGCTCCAGGCCCTTAGGGACACCTTTGTTGCGGGTGTCCAGGATGGCCAGGATGCCCACAATCAGCAGTGCCGTGGCCACTACCTGCAGGGCCGGTGTGACAGCTCAGCACCGGGGGGACCAGTGCCGCCAGGCTGTGGGGAGCCAACCCTGGCACCCACCTGGTCCAAGAAGCCATTGGAGAGGGACAGGTAGTCAGCAGGGTAGGTGGCAAAGATGGAGGCAGTTTCCCGGGGGCCAGAGGCAGTGAGGGTCCCATTGCTGTAGTGGTGGATGGCATCTGCAGAGCAAAGGCAGAGCCTGTGTGGGGAGCCGGGTCACCCTGACACAACCACTGGACACGGGCCCCCAGCCCTGTACCATAGTAGACAGCATAGACAGCTCCAGCAGAGACGAATGCTCCCAAAGTCTGCACGGCCACAAAGATGGGCAACTTCCACCAGGGAAACTGCTCCAGGAGGCACATGGCGAGGGAGAACGCTGGGTTCAGGTGCGCCCCTGCAATGGAGCGGGGAGAGGCGTGGGAGCAGGGGGTCCTTGGAGCCAGGGGACAGCGGGAGCAGGGCACCCTCCCCAGCCTCACCAGACACTCCCCCAGCTATATAGATGGACACCATGACGGCCAGGGCGCTTGCCAGGTAGGCAGTGAGGATGTTCCCCTTGGACTCAGAGCTGGTGACCATCTGCGCTGAGCTGCTCAGGGTGATGAGCTGCAGGAGAGGGACATGGCTCCAGCACAGCCCCTTGCCAAGCCCCCAGCCTGCTCCCCGGGGACAGGATCAGCGCTGAACCCAGGCAGCAGGGCATCAGCCAGGTGAGGGCTGCTCCAGTGCTGCTGCCTGCACCACCTCCATGCCACATCCCCTGGCTCCAGGTTCGGGCACCACATGGAGACAGGCAGGGAGGTGGTGACTGCTCCTGACTGTGGTTCTAATTGCAAAGTATGCTGTGTGCTTTCCTGGGCAGGCAGCAGGGAAGAGGTGCTGCCCTTCAGGATGCAGCCCCACGTGCAGCTCCAGAGCCCCAACCTTTGTCTGAGGCAGGGCAAGAGGTGTCAAGGTATGTGCTACCCAGCACTGCCCCCTCAGGAGCCATATGGCAGCTCCCGTGCCCATGGTGTGCCTGAGCCACTGTGGTGCAGCATTTCCCAGGTCCAAGCAGGAGGTCAGTTAATTCCTCCATGAGCACAGTGGAGCCCCAACCCCCCCCTGCCCTGGGATCCCCCAGTGTCTGCCCCAACCCCCCCTGTTCCCCACTCACAATGAGCACGAGGACGGCCAACATCTCAGCCAGGCACTCCCGCACCAGCTGGTTCTGGATGTGGAGCAGAGCCCGGGCACTCTCCAAGAAGGAAGTGGTGCCCATGGGGCTGGCTAGGAGCAGGCAGCAGCAGCGGTGATGCTGGGCTCTGTCCCAGCTAGGTTTTATGAGCCCTGGTGCTGGGTGATAATGTGCAGACTTTACACCAATTGGAGCCACAGCACAGGGAGACGCCTCGCAGGGACCAGAGTCCTGCGTGGGGCTGGGGATAGCAGTGTGGCCCCGGTAGGAGCAGAGCCCCTGCAGGTCCCCAGGCTCTGCTGAGCCAGCACAGGTGGGTGTGCTCCAGGGAGCTCTGTTTTTCCCTGCCGGATCCCTGCTCACAGGCAGCACTAATGAAGAGGAATGAAGAAGCCTTGGAACGGGTCCTGGGCTGGTTCCTTGAGAGGAGCACAGGAGACCAGACATGGTGGGCAGGGATCGGCACAGAGCAGCCCATCACTGCCTGCACCCAGGAGCCACTTGGTGGGTTCCTGGCTCTGCATCGGGCAGGTTCTGGCCTGAAGGAGCCTGGCAGGTCACCATTAGCATAAATAGACTTTATTTCTCTGTACACATATGCACACACACACTCAGCCCCCCCAAGGGGTCCTTCTGCAGAAGACAGGCAGCCCCCAGAGACCACCTCCCAGGAGGATCTGATCCATCTGTAACAGGAACAGGCAGTGAGAAGAGGCTGCTGCCGGTGTCCACCCATCCATTCATCCATCCCCATAGCCCTGGTGAGCCCCACAGTCCCCCCACCCATCACACCTACTGGGTGCTCAGCCGGGCTGGGCACAGCTACCAGCTTGAGAACCAGCGTCGGAAGAAGCTGCCCAGCGCAGAGGATGGGTCACTCAGGTTGGGAGGGTGGAGATTGTCCTCCGGCGGCCATGTGCCTGCAAACTGCGCCAGCTCCCCTGGGAGAGCAAGGAGAGCTGGCTCATGGGGGGCCCTGCCTTGCTCCCCTCACCCTACTCAGTGCCCCACTCACGGTCATCCATATTGACCACCTCCTCTCTGTAGTCTTTGCTCTGGCCGTCCTCCTTGGTGGTGGTGATGAAAGCTTGGTCCCCCCTCCGGCGTGTCACAGTTGTCTCCCAGCGGCCCTGGCTGTCCTGCACGGTGCGGCGCTCCTCCACCGCCTGTGCACAGCACCACCAAGCCCTGAGCCCCACCACCAGCCCTGGCTCCGCTCCTTGTGCTGGGGACAGTGTCCCCCGCTCACCTGCTGCCCCTTGCTGCACCCTCAGGGGACACTCACCCCATCAGGCAGAGTCACTTTGGTGACAGAGACGCTCTGGAAGTAAGAGTGAGCCTTGGGCTCGCCGGGTCTCAGGATGGTGCCCAGCCCTGCGGAGGAGACCTGCGAGTCCAGGTCTGGGGAGGGGGGAGACGTGAGATGGTGACAGCAGCATGGGGCAGGGTGAACCGGGTGGGCAGGGACCCTGCAGCACCCACCCTGATCTGCCTTGAGGCTGGGAGAAGACGGGGAAGCATCGTCCAGCTGCAAGGCAAAGCACGCACTGGTGACACAGAGGACACCCCAGCGGCCACCAGAGCCGGCCCCTCGCGGGGCAGAGCCTCACTCACCCCCAGGAAGGGGCTCCATGGCTGGGCCAGGCTCTCCGGGTGCTTCAGCATTGAGTCCCGCAGCCGCCGCCCCTCGCCGGGGCTGGGCATTGCAGGCTCGGGGGGGGGCAGCCGCTCCTCCTGCTCGCCGGAGGGCAGCGGGAGCCCGGCCCAGGCGCCGCCGAACAGCCCCAGGAGCTCGCCCACGTCCCGGAACAGCTCCCCGAAGGCACCGCGGGGCCCGAAGCCGAAGTGCGGGGGGGGCTGCGCCAGGGAAGGGCCGTCCTCATCATCCTCGTCCTCGTCCCACGTCGCGCCGCCAAAGAGCGGGTCCCGGGGCCTGCGGGACCACGGCGCTGAGACACCGGAGCAACCGGGGCCAGGGGGGTTAATGGGGACCGGGTTTAACCGGGAAGGGCGGAGGGTGGCAACGGGGGGTAACCGGTACCTCCGCGGCCCCGGGAACCCGAAGAAGCCCCGAAACGCATCGTAGAAGCTCATCGCCGCCGTCCCCTGCCCCCGCGTCGCACTGCCGTAAAGTGCCGCCGGTTGTCGCGAAGCGCCGGCGGAGCCGCCGGGTCCTAAGCCCCGCCGCGGAGGCCTAGGCGCCGGCGTTTGGCTCTACCCTCCCCTCCCGTCGCTCCCAGGCTCCCGCTGGGCTCCGCTCCCCACCCGCAACATGAGGCGGGTCCCGGGGCAGGGACAAGGGGATCCCGGTGCCCGGGAAAGACCCACAAAAGGGCGCTAAAAACCCGGGAAGGGGGAGGCAGGAGAACCTGCTCCGTGGCCCAAAAAGACGGAGCCAGGCAGGGGAGGGAGGGAGGAAAAGATGCACACATGACTTTGTGATCTTTATTCTCTTTAGTGAAGCACCCCCCACACAGGGGCTGCGTTTGGAACTGAAAAAGACAAGATCTGACTGCATAGAAAACAACCAAAAACCCCAACCTGGAGCCCAAAAGCAGAAGGTACTTACAGCGTGCAAGGGTGGGAGGGGGGGGGAGAAGTAAATCGGGGGGTGCAGAACACCCGCTCCGGGGCAGCAAAGGGAGAGCGAGGAAATGAGAGACATCGAGGACGTGGTGGGGTTTTTGTTTTTATATACAAGACACATTTATCCATTAAATTTAGAACACGGTACAAAAAAAAAAAGAAAACCACTTCAACTAATTCATCTTACAATGCTGTTCATATCAATTACTGTTCTTATTTCCTAATAATAAGGGGGGGTTGCTGTAGGCGACTTGCAGCTTCCACTCCTTTGGATCCGAGAGGTTCTGGGGGGCAGCAGGAGGTGGAGGGGAGGGGGAAAGAAAGGAGTCAAAACCAATAAAGGCCCCTACGGCAAACGGTTCGGAGGCTGAATGCAGAGAGAAGGGAGTAAAGGGGAGAAAAAAAAAAAGAGAGAAAAAATACAAATTCTATATTACATACAAGAGGAAAAGGTGGCTGAAGACAGAGGAGGCGGCTGCTGGCTAGGCCTGCTGGGGGCTGTGGGCTTCGGGCTGCCCCGCCACCAACCACTCCTCCCCAGGACCCTTCGGTGTCAGGCTTGGTGGGATGCTCTTCCAGAAGCGAGTGGAGGGCGAGGGTGGCCCCGTCCTCAGTTGGCTCCCCAGCTGTAGCTGTTGTAGGCAGACTTGTTGGCCTGGGATTTCTGAGGGATGGAGCTGCCTTGGCTGCGCTGTCCGGAGCCGCTCTGCGGGAGGAGAAGTGTGTGGTTATGGAGAGGGGAATCGGCACTGTCACCTCTGGGGTCCCAATCCCAGGCTGCTCTGCAGGGTGCTGAGCCACGGGTGCTGCTGGCCCCGCGCGGCGTTGTTCACAGAGCCGCAGCAGCCACAGGACCCTCCCTCTGCTCTGCGCCTGCCTCCAGAGCAGCACCACGGCAGAAGCGCAGGCAGCGAGGGCCCCTGCGGCTCTGTGGGGGCTGCTGCAGGGCAGGGAGGGAGGGGAAAGGTGGGGAAAAGGTTAGAGCAGGGGTGTGTGTCTGTGCGCGCGGGTGTGTGTGTGTGCACATACTGCCTGAGGGCCTCTCTCCTTGCCTGGAAGGGCCAACGGGGGAGAAGAAAGGGGCTACGTGAGCCTGGGGGGCCTTAGGGGCAGGGGGAGACCCCAGGGCAAGTGCAATGCATTATCAGAGAGGTTCATTACCTGATCTTCCTGCTGGCGTTGGCAGCACAGTATCATCTGCAAATATGGAAGCTGTTGCAGTACCAGGATATGTAAAAATAAAGGGACAAACTATGACAATAGAAATCCATGGTTAGACCTGAAAGCTACGGCGGGGTTGTGGCTGTGGCAAGTAACCCCTTTGCTGCTGGCCTGAAGAGGAATGGGGGAGCTCAGGGCAGACCAGGCATGTCTGCGTGGAGGGGCACTACCCGACCCTACCTGGTCCAGCCCGGCAGCAAGGGGGCTGTGCTGAGGACCCCCCAGCAGAGCACACCCCGGCCCTTCCTCACCTCATCTTCTGCTCGGCCCTGTGTGTATGTGCAGGTGTGAGCATGTGTGTGTCACGCGTGTTCACGTGTGTCCGCCGCAGGGCGTGGGGGGGGGAGGGAGAGGGGGGGCCAGGGGAGGTGGGGGGGGAAGCCCTAGGAGATACCCCAGCAAAGGCCGGGGGCTGGGGAAGCCGCTTACCTGCCCATCCTGCTGCAGGTGGTGGTGGAGGATCTGGGAGTGGGGCTGCTGATGGGGGGTCAGGATGTGCATGAACGGGGTGGGGGGATAGGCTGCCGCTGTCGCAGGGTTGATGGGGCCGCCGCTGCCCAGCGCCGAAGGCAGGTTGAAGGAGGCTGCCGGGGTTCCAGTGTGAAATCCCTGCTTCTCGAAGGATTGCTGAGGAGGAGATGCCAATGATGGAATGAGGGCTGGGTGATGGGCGGCACTGCCCTGTCCCAGGCTAGCAGCGTGCCCCTTCCCAGCTCCACAAGTCAGTGTGTGGAGCAGAAGCTCTGCCTATGGCTCTTTCTGGGCTTGGAGCTGCCTTAGGTTGGAAGGGCCTTTCCCTTCTCCCCAGCTGGCTGCTCCAAGGGGAAGAGACCTCATTGCCCAGGGAGGCTTCCTTGTGCACACTGCAGACACTAACCTGAGTTTTGGAGTAGACAGAGCCCGAGATGTCCGGCACTCCTGTGTTACTGGATGTCACAGATACACCTGGGGAGAAGGAAAGGCAAGTGAGTGATGCTAACACCAGCAAGAGGTGGTGAAGAGCTCTAGTGGCTTGCAGTCAGGGAACAGCTAGAGACAGACACATCCTGGGCAGCAGGGTTTTGGTGAGGCCAAGCTGCAAAGGGCCTGTATCAGTGAAGTTTTTTTACTCTGGACATGAGCAGTTTCTGAATGCCTCTTGCTGCCACCCAGAGAAATGCATGTTCTTGAAGAGCCCAGAAAACAGCAACTCTGAGAAAAGCTGTAGGGGATGCAGCAGACATGAGAAAACAAGCTCCGAGCATACAGCAGAGCAGCAAGAGAGCTCCTTGGGTGTCAAACAGGCAACTGCATGTAAAGGGGACTCAGCTGTGGGCTGGGACAGTTGGTGCAGCAACTGGCAACAGTGGCACACAGCCTGTGTTTTCAAAGGTGGTGGAACACAGGAAAGCCTCAGCAGTCATTTAAGGCCCAGAAAAGGTGCTGAAATGAAAGAGGTTTGAAAGCCTCAGCACCAGTGAGTTGGGAGAGAGCTGAAATAGCTTCGCAAAGGGAAAACTGTCTTGAAGTGTGTTGCAGAATGACTCTAAGAGCAGAACCATAGAGTTCTGGAGGACTGTGCAAGCAAGGCAGGGGGTGGCCCCCACAGGTGGCCAGAGACCGGACCTGGGAGGAGAATGTGGAGGAAGCTGTGGGGGCTAACCAATACTGTTATGCCAAGAAGGAGTGCTGAATACTACCACTCCTATATATGTGTGAACTGCGTCACAAATAAACTAGAAGTTGCTTATCACCCATATTGGGTTGGCCTGTCTGCTTCTCCTCGCCGCTTACAGAAGTGCTCTAATGTAGTAAAAGCATTTAAAGGCTGGAAGAGGGACCCAAATCCAGGCAGACATTAACCAGTGACACTAGTACTGAGACAAGCAGCAGGTTCGTGACCTCCTCAAATCTCTGAATCAAGGATACTTCTCTACGAACCATGGATCTGCCCAACACAGGAGTCAATCCAGTTCCCAGGCTCCAATCTTTGACAATTATTGTTCTATTGATCACAGGCAGTAAAAAGAAGAAAAGCCCCTGATATAAGTACAAGGCCCAACCCATTCAACTGCTGGGCACAGTGGAAGGCACAGAGTGCAAGACAGCAGTCCCCTTAGATGACCAGAGACTGGGAACTGCAGTGTCAGTGCCTGCTGCTGAGGTAGATGCTGGGTCTCTTACCAGTACTGTATCCGTGAGAGCCATAGCCACTGGGCTGCTGAAAAGGGGTTGCTGATGCATTGACGCTGACATTCACACCATGCTGCTTGGAAGAGGTAGGAGCAACCTACAGGAAGGAGAGCAGCAGAGTAAGGAGGGGCCTCTCTGTACTGCCCCTCCTGCCCAAATCCCACTGCCTGCCCCTGCGGAACTCACAGGGAACACGGCGGGCCCGTACTGGAAGGTGCTGGGGAGCCCTGGTACCCCTGTGTAGTAGGGCAGACTGGTGTAACTGTAGCCAGGAGGCAGCGCCGGGTTCAGGAACGTCTGCTGTGTGGTGTGGTGGGTCTGGGTCTGGCTCTGCTGGGGCTGGGCCAGAGTCGTTGCAGGAGCAGGGGAAGAGGCATCACCTCGGCCGAATTTGGTTAAGTCACCTGGAATACAGAAGATGAGAAGAGACTGAAGGAAACTCCTGGCCCACTGCAGCTCAGCCCAAACGGGGCCCACCTTTCTGATCAACAGTGACTTGAAGAAATCCCCATCCTGCAGCTACTAAGGACTTCACCCCTAGTAGCCCTCAGACTCTTGCACACTGATGAGCTGGTAACTGCTGTCCTCATCCCTGAGAGGAGGACTTCAGAGGGGAAGGGAAGCCCAAAGCAGCTACAGTGCTGCACTGCCTGATGTGAGCCTGTGATCTGGTATTGGATAAACCACAACAGAGTCCAGATGCTAGAGCTCTCCCTGAGCCAGCAGCAGCCTTGAAGACAACTCAGCTCCCTCCAGAGCTAGACCTCAGGCCAGGGCAGCAGCCTAGGGGTTCCGTCCTACCTGCAAACAGCTCTTCCATGAAGAGGAGAGTAGAATCTCCCAGTTGAGGATGTGTGAATGGCCCCTATTTACATCAGGGCTCACACCTCCTCTCTCGCTGATGGCACTGAATCAAACAGGGCCCAGCAGCTCACAGCAGCTCCGGTATCTCCCTTCCCAGGCTGGGCATTGCCTGAGGGCTTGGGTGCAGGGCTCTGGGAAACTCTCTTGGCTGCTCTTTAGGAGCCCCTGCTTGGCTCCTCCATGCAAACACTCTCACACAGCAAGACAGTGAATTTCCAGCTCCCAAGTGAATCCAGTATAGGCATAAACATGGTAAATTACACATGCAGCAGTGCTGCATCCCGAGCTGGGCATTTCAGCCTCAGTATGTTGAGCACAAGCACTTCTGCACAACCAAGCTCCTGCTGAAGCAGGGGAGGGAGAAGTGGTGCTGGGAAAAGATCCATTCATGGAGTGCAACAATTCCTAAAGCACCTGAAAGCTCAGCACAAGCTCTGCCCACTGGGACTCTGCAGTGTGAGGAAATGCACCTACCAAGTCTGGTGAGAGAACCAAGAATTTAAGTGCTGAGAAACATGCTCCAGACCAAAGGCAGTGCAGGAAGCTGGTGAAGGCACTGGCATAGGAAACCAGGAACCAGCAGCACAAACACCTAATGGGATATGCAAGCAGAACAGGCTTTTTTCTTACCAGAGTATGGATTGCTGCTCAGGCTGCCATCTCTTCCAGTCAGTGGGGTGGTGGGTGTAGGGAATGGGATGCTGTAGTAATCCTGAAGGATAAAAACCAAAGAAGTTTGATGAGCTCAGTCCCAAGATGCAATGCAGGATCTTTTGGAAAAGAGGAATTTCTGGACTGCAGCCACTAAACATGTTGGAGTATTGCAGTTCAATCAGCCACATGGAAGCTGATCACAGCTTACAGCAACCCCAGCTTCTTTCTAGCATGCACCATCCCCCTCATCTGGCTATCAGAATAACCAGATAAGGTCTACTGGTATGCAAGTCCTGAAAGTGCCTGGACTTTCCCCTCCACAGCACGAGGGACACATGTGGCATTGCTTGATAAACCCATTCTCATTATTTGGTCACTGCCTCTTTCAAGGCTCAGAGGCAAGTCTCTACAACAGCTCATTGCACCACTGGCAAGCAGAACAGTGCTCTAGCTCTGCATTCCCTAGTCCCACCAGCAGTGTGACCAACCAGTGCTCCTAACTCCCCAGATGTTACTCAGCAGCTGAGTAACTCACTACTGCACAGGAGCATCCAATCAGCACTCCTTTGTCAGCTCCTTGGGACTATCTCACAGCCTAACCTGTCTGCACACCCAAAGCAGCAGCACCAGTGGAAGCAGCAAGTCCCTGTACTCACCAACGGGAATCTTGTCTGGAGCATTTGCAAGTCATCATATCCATAGACCTGTGGCTAGAAAAAGAGCAGGAGATGACATTAGGGACACACACTAGATAAAGCCACTTACCTCATTTTAGATTAAGCATTTAGATAAATGTGAGAAAAAGCCAGAAGCAGATGAGCAGAGGCTACACAATTACCAAGGTGCAGGCAGCCATCATTCACCACCATCAGACTGACACTGCCAAGAACCCTTTTATGTGCTGCTCAAATGAGGAGTGAGCACCAACACCCAGCACAGTGCTCCAGACCACAAAGGCACTGACAGTGTTCTTCTAGAGATTATTCCAACACCAAAATCTGTCCTTATCTTCAGAAAAGGGTTGTGATTTTGTGGCAGTCGCCACCCTTGCTCTGACTGTGCGGCCTTTGTATGCCATGCTGCTAATACAGCTCCACACCTTCCTGAGCTGTGCTCTGACCAAGGTCTGTTGCTCCCCAAAGGATGGGGAGGCTGTAGAGGCAGACACAGAATCTGCTCTGGGGTGACCAGAATTACAGATGTTTACCCCCATAGGTACATGGATTTCCTCTGTTACTATGGCGAACATGCAGGAAAACAGCAGGTTTTATGGAACACAGCAGGTTGACTCTTCCCATCCAAGGCAGTCCTTCTGTGCTGCTGTTTTTGTTTCCTGACTATCCTACATCCCTTCCTGCTAGCTGAAGACAGAGCTAGGAGGGATCTAGTGGCATGACATGACTACAAAGAGCTGGTTGTCCCACTCACCGGATAGGCATGTAGCAGCCCTGGAGCCATGATGTAAGGATTAGGCAACAACGGTGGGACTCCAGGAGGGAGATTGGGAGGGGCTTTTCCTGGAAAAAGGAACAGGAAGTTGCCCAGTGAAGCAAACAGCAGAAGCTGCCTCTCGTTGTCCCCGTCCCCTTATCCTGTTCAGCAGTACCCAGGAAAATACCTGATGTTGTTGCGACTGAGCTGCGAGTTGAGGCTGTCACCGTGGAGTTACTACTGAGGCTGAGGCCCAGGCTGCTGACACTGCTGAGGCTGGAGGAAACGCTTACGGCTGGTGGGGCAGCTGACACTGTGCTGGAGGAGGTGGAGAAAGTGCTAGCAGAAGAATGGAGGCTTGCTTCACTCTCCACACTTGTGTGCTAGGGAAGGAAGGGAGAAGAGTCAGGGGGCCAGGCAGCTGGAACAGAGTGCAGAAACACTGCAGGACACTGCACCTGGCCATTGTGAGAGCCTGCAATGAACTTGGCTGCTGCAGGCTACAAAGAAACCTGCTTTGCATCTGCCTTAAGTCCCAAGTCCTGACAGCAGCCAACCCCTAATTTTTCTGAGCCTCGCATGTGGCTGTGTCCCAACATGTCTGTCTGCTGAAGAAGCAGGGTTGAGCACCGCATCTGCAGCAAGAGGCTGACACTGCTGCAGAAGCCAATGCCCAGGGACTCTGCACTGAAGGAGCTCCAGCAGAACACACACTTGAACAGTGGCAATTCAGCAGCTGCCAGTTTACTCTGACACCTGGTTGTAAATCTGCAGCACATTCAAGAGCTGCTACAGCCTCAGAAGCAGCTGATGTTACACCTGAAACAGGCAAGGTGTCAAAAGCCTCGAGACAGAGGTGTCCGGACAGTGTTCTGACATAACCCCCTGTCCTCTCCATAAAACATCCAAACTCCAGCAGAACAACCAGCAGCCTGATAGCTCTTGTCACAACTGCAGACCCTGTGCCAGTGGGGGTACACAGCACTAGAGCACACCCAGACTCACCAGAAGAGTTGAAGTTGACGTTCGCCCAGAGGAGGTGGATGAGGACAGACTGTTCTGCTGGGTGGGTAATGTACTGCAGAAGGAGGAATAAAAGGGTGTCAAGCCAAAGGATGAGACTCACCATTGGCAGCACCAGCCCAGATCCCATTCCCCACCTACATAGATGGGATGATTTATGTCGGTCTTCCCTATTTCATGAGACAGACTTTGTTGTCTGCTTTAGATCCCTGCTTCTAGTTCTGCTCCTTCAGAAAGCCAACCGCCATGCTTGCTCACCTGCTGAGCTGGGCACTGCTCGTACTGGGGAGCTCCTCACTGTGACTCAGGCTGCTCAGAGCTGTTGAGTGTTGGCTGGCTGTCGTCAGCAACGAGGATGCAGATACCCCATCATTGAGAGGCGTGATGCTGGGAGCAGAGGGGGAATCTGATTTCACTGTGGGGCCTGTAGCACCTGTCAACAAAAGCTTTGCATTAGCAACAGCTCCTGGAAGGCAATGGAGTGGTGAGGATCAGCAAAGCAGGGAGATGCGGGGTTTCCCTCACTGCTGCCAGCTAGGTACACACTTGTGACAGCACAAACTGTGTTGTACTTCTCGCTTTACCCCAGCACTGCCATCAGCTCTGCAAAGAGCTTGAAGACCTTTAGATGAGGTCCCTTTCACAAAGAGAAAATTATTATCACCAGTGAGTGACTCATCATGGATCTCAGGGATGCATCAGCTGAAAGCTGCACATCTCAAGGCAAAGAAATAATCCAAGTGGCAGCAATTAGTCCAGCAGGCAAAAGACTTTGCTTTCTTTTCGAAGCAAAGAATATGAGCAGTACAAGAGGCTCAGGACACCCACGGCACTGAGAGACTCTTACCTTCGACAGCCTGTGTGGTTTGTAACGGCGTGGGTTGTACAGAACTGAAACCATTCTGAGGAAGAAGAGAGAAACAGTACTGGGTATTGCAGCTCCTTTCCCTGAGGCAGGTCTAGTGCTAGCTCCCCCACCCCGACTCCCTCCTCACCATCATGTCACCACACTGTGTGGGGTCTGTCCCAAGTTCGACCAGCCCAGTGCCAGCAAGACCCTCAAGTGCCTATCTGAGCAAGCAGGGGAAGAAGTTCCTCTGCTGCTGGTAGCCAGATTGGCTCAAGATCCCCAAGCCAAAACTGCTGTTACTGAATGTGTGTGCAGCATGCAGGAACTGAATCCTTAAGACAAAACTAAATCCTTAGCCTGAATGCCACTCTGCACAAGGTAATTATGCATGACAGGACACATGGCCTGCTATCAACCACTGTTAACCCCACTGGCCCAGCCCCAGGGAAGTTCCATAACTAAGGGCTCTGGTAGTAGCTCTCACAAACCATGTGGTGAGGCTTGCAGGATCACAGAAACACTTGATACATCACTTAGCTTCCCCCAAGCCAGAGCTTCACACACTGTGCTTACTCAGCACAAAGGGTGAGCAAAGCTCTTCTCCTACCTTAGCCTGGGGCAGATCTTTCTGGGGGGAGGAGGAGATGGAATTTGGGTATCGCCTCGTCTGGGTGGATCTCTGTTCATACAGTGGTCCCTGAGCACTGTTCTGGGAGGTAAACGTGGCTGTCTGCATTGTGCTGCTCTGGTAACCAGACTCTTGGCTTTGATTGGACGAAACTGTGGATGAAGATTCACTGCTAAGGAAGAAACCAAACAAGAAGAGTTAATGTTTTCCTCCAGCACAGCCCTGCTGGAAGCTGCTCATCCTGGAGACTTCATCTCAACCTTAAAAATGAAGAATCCCAAGCATCAGCATAAAAGTACCACACAAAGCAGCCAAGCAGCGAAACATGCCCAGGAAAGGGCCATGGAAGGATGGTGGCACCTTGCTGCAGCTCTCCCTCACACACTTTTGTGCTCTAGATGACATTTCATGAGCTGCCATCACTCAGGTCCAAGCACTGAAGAGACTGGCCAGATACTAAGGGTCAGCCCAATAGAGGGCTTTGCTTTGAAAAGGTATGATCATCGTAGCTACACCTACTCCACTGTGTCATAGACTCATAGAACCATAGAATCCTAGAATAGTTAGGGTTGGAAAGGACCTTAAGATCATCCAGTTCCAATCCCCTGCCATGGTCAGGGACACTTCACCCAAGGGATACCATGTCACCCAAGGCTCTGTCCAACCTGGCCTTGAGCACTGCCAGGGATGGAGCATTTACCACTTCTTTGGGCACCCTGATGGCAGTGCCTCACCACCCTCACAGGGAAGAACTTCTACCTTGTATCTAACCCAAACTTCCTGTGTTTCAGTTTGAGCCCATCACCCCTTGTTCTATCGCTCCAGTCCCCTGGTTTGCCAGGCAAAAAGCAGGACAAAAGCACGAATCTGTTCTCCAGGGACAAGGAACAGTTGCACTGGGGATTCTTCTGTGTTTCAGGCAGCACAGTTAACTGCAGCAGGAAACATCCGTTTTCTGTACAAGTACCACAGGTCAATCAGTCAGACAGCTGCCTGAATGAGTCTGTTGGCAACTTGGGCTTTGCTTTTGCATACATTGTCCCCCCTTTGTGACCATGGCACAGTCAGAAAGGGTCTACTAGTATGCAGCACAATTGAAGTCTATGGGACCAGCTACCCTTCCAAAGCTACCTGCTCAGATTCATGTTTCCTTCCTCGTGCCCAGCCCTCACCTCGCTGTGCTGGTGTACAGGTTGCTCTGAGCCTGGCTCACAGCAGCACTTGTTGTGGGTGTTGATTCATACTCCGCAAGAACAGGCTCAGAACCAAACTGCAACGCCCCAAACTGCAGGTTGAGCCCTGAGATATCTGCTGAGCCAGGCATTTCCACTGCAAGGGCAGGAATCTGCAAAGGAAGGAACAGCAGAAAGGATCAGTCACCCTCTGGGATCATCACAGAGAATGACTTTAGTATCCCCATTTCCCAGCACATGATGGTAGTTCCAGGCTTGCATCATCTGCATCAGCCCTGTTCAACCCAGGTAGGGAAGCTTTCTCCATCACCACCCCAACTTCCTAACAACAGTAAGGCCAAGCCAACCCCTATGGATTGTTCTGGATCTCTACCACAATACAACATCTCCTTCCCCACCATCCATCCCCACCTTTGATGTTAATGATGCCTTTTTCTTTTGCTGCTTCAGCTTCTGCTGAGCTGGCTGGGGACTGGATGACTGGTTGTCCGAGGAGCCTGGGGACATCTGAGGGACAGGATTGGCTTTGCTGGGCAGTGGGGAGGAGGAGGGTGCTGGAACGGTTGTGGAGGCAGTCACCACAGGCTGTTTCTCCTGCATGAACACTTCGATCATGGTTGAAGTTGAGGTGAAGGCCTGACGCTTGGTGAAGGGACTATGCACGGAGGAGTCTGTTGGGTTCTTGAGATCTACCAGGGGAGACAAGAGTGGAGTTAGGGGGGTTTGTTTCCTTAAAACTAAATCAACTTCTGACACTTCAGAGGATCAACCAGCTTGGAAAAAACCTTTAAGATCATCCAATCCAACTCTTCCCAGCACTGCCAAGGCCACCACTAACCCATGGCACTGAGGGCCTCATCTACATGGTGTGTGAACACTTGCAGGGACGGTGACTCCAGCACTGCCCTGGGCAGTCTGTACCAATGCCTGAGCACCCTCTGGGGAAGGAATTGCTCCTATTCTCCATCTAAAGCTCCCTGGAGCAGCTTGAGGCTCTTGCCTCTTGTCCTGTCACTTGTTCTATCACTAGCACAGGGCTTGAACCAGAGCCATTTCCCTATAGCAAGATATCAAGACACACAAGCTGAAAGAAACGGCCCTAGTACTGGCCTGCAGCAGGGCTCAGCATCTCATCTGAAAAGCTGGAGCCTCTCAAATACTGTTTATTCTCTCACACCAGCCCAGAGTTACTTCTTGGCACTGAACAGTCACCAGAATTGCATTCCTTTAAATGATACCAGTAGGTCAGCATCGAGATGCCACTGCCAAGTGGTGCTATTCACGAGCTCTTCCCCACAGGTACCTGCTTTCAGACCTCTTCCCTGGGACACAGTTTTATATTAGGAAGTAGTGAGGATCTCAAGAATGCTAGATCCCTGGCCCTGAAGCTGGCTGCCATGACCATGAGGCTCCAAGTATAAGAGGTATAGGGAAAGACTCACACGCATTATATTGCATTTCACTCCTTTAAACTTGCACCCATGGTCCTTCTAATTTCTCCAGCACAGTTGACTTGGTTGTGAACTTGTGATCTGGCCCTCACTAAATCCATCACAGTTCTGCTGTGCTCCCCCCTTTGGGGAACCACACTGTTCCTTACCATACTGCACAAGAGATGAGGTCTGCGGAGTAGATCCCATGTCCCAAGAAGCAGTGGTGCTCCCACCAGGCTGGGTGTGTTGAGCAGCCAGCTGAGCCAGAGCCTGGGCTGTCTTGAACTGCTCCAGGAACTGAGAACCTGTGGTACTGCTGCCTTTGGCCTCTCCGACATCTCCAAACCCTTTCCCCAGCATGCTCACCTGCAATTGCAACAAGGCAATAACAAAGTCAGTGTCTCCCTTGGCTTGGAACTTGGTTCAGAGGACAGATCCACCTCTGAACATAGGCCTGGACACTCTGTACCCTCACTGTACCTCTCACTGGGTGCCTCACTGTGCACACTCTGCACCCACACTATACCTCTCACTGGGTGCCTCAGCTTAATGCTCTAGATGCACTCAGACACAGCTGGCAAGGAGAGCTTGTACTTCTCTCACAGCCTTTCTTGCATGGGGGTGCAGGTGCACTTACCCATTGCCCACATCATGACATTTCATAGTGTCATGGAGGCTTACAAAGGAAGGGCTCTTTAAATATGTCCTAAGTTATTCCCATGCATTTGGTGGCACTAAAGACACCACCAGGAAAACTGGGCTTTACCACTGAGATGGTTTGGAAAATCCTTCATGAATTCTCATCAGTAAGCGCACAACTGCTATTTCTTTTGCTTAAGTTACACAAAAAGCAGCACCTGCACAGGCCTCTGCCCATTCCTGATGCACATCCAATGTCTCCTTCCTTCTACCCAAACGCAGACAGAGCATATCTGGGAAACCCGTACATTCCTAAGATATTTCCTTACCATGCTGTGGTGGGAGAAGGAGTTCCCAGAGGCAGGCTGGGATATAGCACTCTGCTTGGAATTGCTGAAAACCAGCGGCTGGGCCAGGGAAGGAGCCTGGGATGACTCCAGGTTTGGCGACTCATTTTCCATAGAAGAGGGCGTCTTTCCTAGCAGGACTGCCAGATCAATTCTGGGTAAAGAAGGGAGATACCCACTGAGGTTAACACAAGCTCTGTCCCCGCCCTGCACTTCCATTGCGGCAGTATTCTACCTTCAGCTTCCCAAGTTATAGCCTTCACAAACTGAATGGATCTGCAGAACATTAACTCACTGCCAGTAGCAGCCTCAGAAGGACAGAGCATAGGAAAACTCCAATCCAGGATTGACCCAGAAACTCCTAACTCAACTTTTCCATTTAAATCCATCTCATCTTAGTGAGAGCTGCTGCATTTTAGCCAGCTGGCAATGGTTAGTCTGAGATGGCAAATGGCTCTGGTCTTTGTGTGCCACATAAAGAGCATTGCCATGGACTCTCACCTCTGTCCAGCTGTGATTGTCACATTCTCAGCAGGCAGAGGCACTGAAGACACATTGGAGGCAGTGAAGATCTTCGTCTCAGACAGCTGCAAGATAGAAAAGGGGAAAAAGAATCCAAACATTGAGGACAGTGTCTTGGGACTCCAAGTAAAGCACGAAACTGCTTGAGCCACAGAAACAGTCAAGAAATGCAAGTGCTGAGACTTCAACTCCTCTAACATTTGGCTCCCATCAGAAGCAGCTTTTATTTCATCTGTTTCTTTTCAGGCAAGTGCACAAATCTTCTGCCAGTGGCAAAACACACCCCCTAGATCCTTCCATAAATGTCCTGTAGTTCATAAATCCACTAGGACTGCCAGGCTCTTGGCTGCTCTGAACTGACACAGCACTGAACTGCAAACCCCACTGCCCAGGGAGGTGCAAGCAATGCTGGAGAAGTCAAAGAAAACAGACCCCTGTGGGCTTCCCATGACCCTGGCCTCACCTGGATGTTCTGACCAAGAGATCTACTGCAATTATGGAAGGAAAAAGAACATTGCTCAACACTGAAAGAAGAGGAGGTTTAATGACGTGGAACATTGCTGGATATGAAAAGCTTTGATTCCAGACTGAGGAGCTGCCAGCAACTAAACTGCAGGAGCTTAAAACCAAACTCAGGAACCCCTGGGAGCATATCACACACACTGACGGCAAGAAGGGCTACCAAAGGCTCTCTTCAAGCAGAGACCTGACTGAACAGACAGGGAAGCTGCTTGTGTCTCCAAATACAGCAGGAGCCCTTCACAGTGCCTGGAAAGCAAAAGGTTTCTCTTCTTGCTCATTCTGTAGGATTAGCAAAAAATGGGCAAGTAAAACTAATACTAAAACCTAGCCCTGCTCCCATCTGCAAGAGCTGCAGCTCTGCCTTGATTCAGAGAGGGGCTGAAGCCTATTTCGGGAGAAATGGACATGGAAGCATTGAAAGCAGCTGTGAACGGTGTCTGTTCTCCCCTGCAGGAGAAGTTAGGTAGAGAACAAAAAGCACTGGGATGTGCCAAAGAGCAAGTCAGGGTGCGGATCAAACCTTCCCCAACTGCCACTCCACTGGAGCAGCAGAGCAAGAATCCTGTGTGGAGTCAGGCCAGCTTATGGAAGAAATAAATCATTCAGGAAATGAGAGGACCATACTTGATGGCCCAGCATATCCCTTCCCGTCTTGGGCTCCTATGACAAGCTCTACTTCACACCTACTTCTGAAGCAGGCATGTTTAATTATTCATCACAGCTCCTGAAACTGGGAGTTTGGGGAGGCTGGGCTTTCTGTTCCTGTCATTGCTGTATGCACACGTCAGCAGCCGCATGGAGGAAAGGGGTCTGGAGTGTACCTACATCTTCATTCCAGTCCTCCGTGCCCCATTCTTCTGTCGCTGCCCTCCAAGCACCTACAAGGGTAACAACAGGGAGAAGTTATGCACGCAGCAAAGCTCTCCCTCCAAAAGGCAGGGAAGCATTGGGGAGCTTTACAAGCAGCTGAGAGCATTTCTAATTGCCAACCAGGCAACGTAAAGCAGTTTACCCCAACCCACAATTCATGGGCAAGGCACTGTGATGGCATCGCCTCTGCCTTGCTCGGGCTGAAAGAGAGGGACCCCTGGCTTGGCAGACCTGGATTAACACACACCCCAACTCCAAAAAGGGAGGCTGAGCTTCAGGAAGCCCTGGCATCGCCCCCAACCTCCTTGTGCCATGTTCCCGAGTTCCCTTTGTATTGCAGTAGCTGCAAGTTTCTGCACCCACAAGCAGTTCGTGTTACCCCAGCAGCTCAGACAGAGCATCTCCTTCACTGGCCCTTGAAAAGGACTCACCACCCACTTCACTTTGTGTTTCTATAAACCCCAGGGACAACTGAACCATTCATAGGGTTCATCTTCCCCCCCCAGGTATGTTAAAACTTCCCTATGCCAAGACCTCCTGTGCACAGACAAATGCAAATCAGAAAGGAAAATTGAAGGGACTAAGCAATTCCCATGTTTTCTGATTGATTCCAGGGATCTGCTCCAAGGAAGTATCTTAAAATATCAGGAAGAAAAGCAGGAGATTTCAGACACAATCCAGCCCAGCACAGTTCATAAGAGAGCAAAATTTACCAGGAAAACAAGTGATTGCCTGGCTGCATTTTCAACTTGTTCTGTCCCTCACTTCCAGCATACTTTAACCACAGTACTTTGAATCTTACATGATGACTCCCAAATCTCTTAGATTACAAGTTACAATTTGGTCTGGGAGGAGGGCAAAGGAGCATCTGACAGCCTAAACCACTCCAAGCATAAAACCAGCCCTTGTTTGGGCAACTTGTTTTTAGCCACTTGAAAGCAGCTCAGCAAAAGTCACCACCAGCAGCAGGGTTAATCCTGGAGAGGTTTCCAAGGACAGAACAAGTTGACATCAGCCCTTTCATAAGCTGAAAGCCTTTTACAGCATCAAAACATAGCACGTGGGGAACCAGAACACTGCAGGCATAGTCTGCCCTCACAGCAGATGTGGGAAGGCTCCTTTACAGCAAGATCCTCCCAGCTTAGCCCCTATCTAAGAGGTGAAGTCAGAACTGGAGATAGCTGGGTCAGTGGGAGGGAAGAGCAGGAAGCCAGGAGAATTGCCCCAAGAAGAGTCTGTGCATGCAGGAACATGACACAGGGCTCTCTTAGTCTTGCTTGCATGGGGCAAAGGAGAAAACCGGCAAAGCAGATTGAAAAGCAGAAGGAAATCCTGCAGATGAAGAGCAGCCATTGATGGGGCTTCCCTGCCAAGTCTACTTCCTGAGTCCTGGACACCTATCCAGCGTGGCTCATGCTCCTTGCACACAAAGGGACAGATGAAAAACTGAAGACCATCAATGAACCAGCATGTGCCAGAACTGTTTCAGAAAGCTTCCTAAGCAGCACAGTGTGTTTAGGCTTTTAAAGACACTGAATCAGGCTCTTCCAAGGGGAGAGCTACAACACAAGCAACATCCTGACTCTTCTAACACCACTCTGGAAGTGTCACCTTCTGAACTGCAATCCCTCCTCTCTTCTTTCAGGAAGCCCTTCCAAGAGCAGCTGGTCTGTAAGCACCTCAAACCAGGAAAAGGGGGAAAAAGCTAAAAGTCCAAAGGCATTTGCGATTACAAATGTACTGAAGCAAAGAAATCCCATTGTGTCTTCATGATACCCCTCTTCCCCAATTCATTCTCTCTTCATTGTAAACTGTGAGATGAGCAACCAGCTTGCTCCTCTCTGGGCCCAGAGTGCTCTGCTGCTATCTCAGTGACTGGATACCTGCTCCCTGCTCTGGCCTGAAGGGTGACAGAACCAAATCCCACACTCTGCACCTCAAAGGAATGTAAATCCAAACAAAGGAAAAGCCTGGCAGAAGCATAATGGCAGCACTGGAGCAGATGACCTTGTGCTGCCTGCCCCAGTTAAAGATTAACCCAGAGGTGAGGACCAGGAGATGCTCCAAAGCAACAGCAGCACTCCAAGTATGGCAGCCTCCAGGGCCCTGCAAAAGACTTTACAGCCTCAACACTCCTCCTCCTGTCCTGACCTGCTCCTCCAGAAGGGCCTTTAGCCTTGAGTTCCAGACCTCAAGTTTCATGGAGGAGACATTAGTCCAACGTGGGTTTGGCCTTCTTATGGACACTTCTTATGGACACTTCTTATGGGATTTGGTGGGTATAAGGCAAACCGGATCAATTTATAGGTGTCTTTTTGCTTCATAAGGCATGAAAGGGGCTTAGAAGGATGATGGAGAGGGACCCTTCATCAGGGACTATAGTGATAGGACAAGGGGTAATGGGTTCAAATGTAAACAGGAGTAGTTCAGGTTGGACATCAGGAGGAACCATCCCTGTGAGGGTGCTGAGGTGCTGGCACAGGTTGCCCAAAGAAGTGGCAAATGGTCCATCCCTGGCAGTGTTCAAGGCCAGGCTGGACAGAGCCTTGGGTGACATGGTCTAGTGTGAGACATCCTTGCCCACAGTAGAAGGGTGGAACTAGATGATCTTAAGGTCCTTTCCAACCCTAACTATTCTATGATTCCATAAAAGTGCAAGAGGAGGAAAGAGAGTGCACAGGCACTGGGCAGCTTTGCCATCAATCATCCTGGTGACCTCCAAATCCACTGTCATCTTCAAGTGCAGGGCAGGTCTGCTTGGAGGAAGAACAGCAGCTGGGCAGCAAGAGCATGCCAAAACAGCCAGCAAGCACATCGGTCCCCCAGAGGCAGCCATAAGCAGAGGCAAAGCGCTGAGATAGTTGCTTTAACCAGAGCAATTCCCCTTGCAGCAGTGTCTGTCCCTGAGCAGAAGCATAGCAGGGAGGGCAGTGGAGTGATGGCTGCAGAACCAAATGGCATGAGGACAACAGCAAGCCATGGCTTTCTGAATGTGAGACAAAGAGAACAGGGCTAAGCTGCCTCATGCCTCCTCCCCTTGGTGGGATGCTCTGTCATCAGTGCTATGGACACGGAGCTGCTCTGGGTACTGAGAAGCAGTGGCTGAAGTTAAAATATACCTAAATCCCTCCTCCCACCCGAATTTGGGTTAACCTCTCCCAGTTTACATTCAAGGTGTCAGCATTAGTAGAAGCAGTCAGAACAAACGTCAAATAGTCATTAAAATCAGCAAGTGAAGAGAGAGGAGGATGATATATCCACAGATATTTGAGGTTTGGGTTTGAAACAAGCTATAAAGGAGAAGTATCCGGGGCAGTTGATGCACCTGGAGGTATCGTACCAGGAGCAGTGTCAAATTTTCGGGGATAATTTGCCCCCTCACCCCCAATGAAATCAAGTCCTGAAACAACAAAAAACAAAACAAGACAAAAAGACAGACAACGAGTGAAATTCTGGCTTCCAGAAGGGCAGGGGAGTTCTACTGCCCATGTGCACTGGTCACATTTTACCTGTGGATACTGGCATTGCCAAGAGATGCCCATGGCTATGGAAATGGACACTACAAGACCTCGCAGGGTGCAACTGCATTGGAGAACTACAGCAAGTTGGAGTTGTTCCATCAGAAATCTCCCCAATCCCCCCAGCCATGCTCTAATTCCACAGTTCCACTGAGCACCAACACACAAAACCAAGGCCAACCTCACAAAAGGCTGTTCACACCAGTTAAACTTCCAGCATGTGGAGCTCATTTGCTCCCATCCCTTTTTCCTCCCAAACCAAGTGTACCCATTGCCCTTGGCTCCTGCCTGCACTACTCCCTCTGGTATTTACAACTCCGTTTACAGTATTATTTACAGGGTGGTGAGGCACTGGCACAGCTCACCCAAAGAAGTAGTAAATTACTCCATCCCTGGCAGTGTTCAAGGCCAGGCTGGACAGAGCCTTGGTCAACACGGTCTAGTGTGAGGTGTCCCCGCCCATGGCTGGGGGTTGGAACTGCATGAGCTGAAGGTCCTTTCCAACACAAATCAGGCTGGGATTCTGTCTCTTTCCAAAGCTATCAGCTTTTCAGTAACTACAAGAAATACAGAAGTGGCCTAAAGCAACATGAATTCTATTGTGAAAGCCTCTTATAATGAGTAAGTGCTATTTACTTGAATGCTCAAAACTCATGGAAAAACAGTTTGTGCAAGACTGCTCCATAAAAAAAACCAACCCAACAAGCTCCAAACCTCCTCAAACCCCCAGGCTGACTACTTACAATTAAGGATTGTCCCTTGCGACTCTGTCCAGTTACCACACTGCAAAACCTGAGTTCACTTGTGCCTTACAAAAGTGGGCATACTTGAAACAAAAAGAGTACCATTTTTTCCAGGGCAAGGGAATGTGCCAGGGCAGATCTGTGCTCACAAACTGCTTTGCTTCAAACAGGGAAGCAATGAAGAGTTCTTTTCAACCAGCTCCAGCAGGCTGAGCATGAAAGAAAGAATGCTCCCCATCTCATAATCGGGAGCAAGACATCTAAACCCTGAGTAATTACACTATACTTTGTAACTCACATCAGAACAATCATCCAGCTCCCAAATTCCAAGGTGGTCACCCTAACAGATGCAAAGGCTCCTCTGGGCGCAAAGAAACAGCATCACTGAAATCCACCTCTGAACCAACAACCCCTTTCTGTATTCCTGAGCCAAAGACCTACCCAGAACCTCTTTAGTGCAACTACATGGGCACAAAGTCCACCTACCACCTAACCACAAGCCAGAGTATGAAGAGCACTTACTTGTGCCATCATCTGGCTCAAAGCTGCCCGTGTTGTTCCATGTGTTGCTGTTGCTGTAGCTCTCATCTGTGCCTGCCGGCTCGGCATAGTCAGCTGGGTTGAAGGTCCTGTGAGAAGCAAGAGGATGGAAGTTTTTACTCCCTTTCCCCAAGCAACTGATTTTATTCACCCCATACCACATCTCCCAGTTCTCTCAGCAGAGAGCTGCTGCAGCTACACCAGCCATTCCTCACTGAAGTTAGCACTCTCCAGTTTTGGCTTTATTAACAAAGGAAAATGGGACCACAAATGATGCACAAAGACTTGTATCTTTGCTGTGCTTTGTACAGTGAAACTTACCCCATGCCTTGGGCAGAAAATCTTCCCCCTCGCCTTCCAGAGCCACCTGTAGAACACACACACACACTGCTGAGCATCTCCCTTGGCTCTGCATCACGGGGCAAAGCAGCAGTTGAACACCATCTGGAGCTCTGATCCCCACAACATGCAAGTGGTGAGGATCTTCCCTAATTGTTGGGATTTCCAGCGGCGTCTTTATACTGCCGGGGATGACCTCAACTCCCTGGCAGTAGAATTTAATGATGCATGAGCTCGGGCTCAGATAAGGTTTCCAGCTGGCACAAACCACAAGCAGTGGCCCCCAGGTTCTGATTTCTGCATCATGTGTCCTCAGCAGCCCAGATTTGGTGAAAAAATGAATTTCTGCTACTGAGTATTTAAAACCCAAGCCAAGTGTTTGCACAGGAAAGGTGCTCAGATACATGGGCAAGAATGAGGAGGAGCCAGGTTCTGGTGCTAACACGCAACTGGCCCATCGGCCAAATAGTCACCTTAGGGTTTAACTTCTCACTTTTGTACAAAGTGGCCCTATCTTTTTTCAGCTCCAGGGATGGGATGTAAGAACTAGATACTTTTTCTAGCATACTTAAGATGGGAAGTGACATGCAGGCTAGGAGTGTAATCAAAGAAGAGCAAAATCAAATACTTGGTTTCAGTTTGGCAACTCCTCCCATAAGAGAGCCTTTCAAACCTCATGGAGGAGATAGTCACACTGATGTAACTCTTCTCTCCCATTCCCTCTGACCTCAGATCCCATGTGTACCTCGGCCTCGGCCACGTCCCCGCCTCCCTCTTTCCGTGCCTCTTCCAGAAGATCCTCCACTCTTACCACCGTCTAGTCCATTCTCCTGACCCCGAACTGAAATACAGAACAATGAAAGAATGTCAAGATTTAGGGAGGATTCAAGTCCAGACTAAAGCTCCCATTCACTTCTATTATTTAAGCTGATGGTATTGAGGGTATCACCCAAGGAATCATCTCAGTCAGGGAAGCATTAGACAGCTCACACACACAATGATGGTTTTCCTCAGAGATGAGTCTGCCCAAGCAGCTTTCCTAGCAGGTTTTGTGTAGCACAAACTGCCTTTGAATGACCCTTCAGGTCCCTTGCACCAGTGACAATGAGGGGTGTTAGGAAAGGGCAGGTCCATACACTCTCTTCCACGGCTGGTACCACGGCCCCGCCTCGGTGGCCCTCCACGTCGTCTGCTGAAATCCCGCTCCCTCTCACGGTTCTCTTTGCTTTCTTCACTGGGTTCTGTCTGGCCACTCTCCTTCTGTCCTGAGACACCCTTCTTCTTCCCAACCATCTCCCAGGAATGCTGAAGATTTGCAGAGGGGAAAGAAATTAATCACACTTTGATCAATGAAGGAAGTTACTCACTGTTTGAGCAATGCAGTACGTGAATACATGCATATTCTTACACACCTATTGAAACTTGCTACAGATATAACAAGAATCTCCAGAAAAATCCTTTCCAGGCCAATTTCTCTTTGTTTTGAAGAGTCTATCAGCCTACACACAGTACAGCTTTTTCCTTCAAGGAAAGCTTTCTTATAGCTGACTGTCACACAGCCTGAGGTAACAGGACATGAGTTGCTCTCTTTCTGCACAGATTTACTAAACCATACTCACAGCAGCATGAAAGCTTACACAGATGCTACTGTACTGTTGTCAAAGTGCTTGGATTGAAAAGGAATAGGATTTATTGCATTTTCTTCTCCATTCTTTTGGGCCTGCTGGCCACGCTTGTGTTCTGTGCAAGCCTACAGAGAGCAGCATTGAGAAGCCGGTACACAGTTACCTTTCACATGCTACTTGTGGAACTAGTCAGTCATTATGGCTCTTGCTATCTAGACAGGACTATTTGTCTTGCCTTCATATACACAGTTACACTAAATTAGGCCTCACCAGATTTACAGAACCCAATCCTACCGTGTCCGGATTGCCCTCCAGCAGCACGTTGATGGCTCTATTAACATCTCCATTGCAGTCATGCAGAGCAATCACACACTCATCCTGGTTCTTGCCTGTGATGTCGATCAGCTGGAGAGGAGACACCACCATGGTCAGCACATTCCAAACCAAGGCGGCACCAAGTCTCTATGGATCTCTTATGGATCCCAAACAAGAAATCTTTCAAAGAAGTGTCAGCAGTTGGGAGTCTCCTGCAGCCTTCACAACTGAATTATGCCCCCTCAATGAGAAGTAACTGCTGCTGGAACTTCTGAGTTACCACAACCAGCTTCCAAACTCCCCCTTTTCTCAGGTTAACACCATTCCCTGCATTCTGTGGAAGAAGTCTGTCCAAGGAAATTCAGGGAGTCGGCAGCCGAGTCCCTCCCACCTCCCCCAGGCAGTCACGGTAGTTGACATTGATTCTGCCTTCCTGCCAGGGCTCATCCTCACTTTCCACACTCACTTGTTTCACCTTCTCCTCAAAGTCAGCATCATTGTGGTCTGAAATCATCTGTGCAAGTCGAATCTGTTCCGCAGTGGCCTGAAGAAATGGAAGGCAGAGACAGCGGGATTAGAGCAGCACCTTTCCAACAACCCTTCCTCCAAAGACCACTCCACTTCCCTGAGGTCTCTGGGAAGGAATCAGTGGGATGAAGAGGAGGTGTGAGCAAGAGTCAGAGAGAGGAAAGCTTCAGAGAGAGAGATGGAAGAGGAGTGAGTGAGGAGAGTCCAGAAGAAAGGGACTCACCAGGCGAGGGATAACCACCTAAACTATCTCCATTCTGAGGCAGACCTGAGCACCACTGGAACATCAAGACCCACTGCAGGTGGCTTCTTAGCCACCTGCATTCATTCAAGTGAACAGGGAATGGCCAGATGGAAATAACCCCAAACCTCAGCTCAGACACTGGTGTGGAAACCCCACCATCAGTGGCTGCCCAGGTAACTCAGCTCTGCCAGCAGCATCCTGCAGCATGCAGGACGCATGCAGAGGTGGCAGGTCTCCACCTCCAAGCTAACTGGTTTCCATGGCTGCTGCCCTTACCTGTGGCCGCTGCTTGTGCTGTGTCTGGCTCTGTGTCTGTGTCTGCTCCCAGTTCCCCCGGGCTCGGTTAGTGCCCACCGATGTCATCATTTACAGTATATACAAATAACAGTATTTACAAGGTAGAACTCTGTGGTGGGGCAGGGGAGAAGAGAGAACACACTGTTAGAAAACCAAAACAAAAGGCAGCATCAAGAATGAACCACGGCACGGGCGAGGCAGGCAGCAAAGCCATCCCAGTGCCCTCCTTCCCTCCCCACCAGCCACAGCCTCCCATTGCCATGTGCCCCGAGATGAAACTGGCACTTCTGGAGGTTTCTCCACTGACACCACCTCACCTGCACTCAGGTGAGCAAGTGTGTGAGCAGACATAGATTGGCTATGGCCAGGGCGCAAAATGCTTGTTGGACAACTGGAGTAAGGAATGCTTGAGAAAAGCTCTAAAGAAGCTTCATTTAGAGAGCAGAACATCTCACAGCCTCAGACACACCATCAGCTACTTCCCCTTCTCCTTTCTTGCCTTCAAAGCAGGGCAGGGGAAGAAAAGCACTCCAGTAGTAAGTGGTGCTATAGGTTTGTAGGATATTGGTTTAGAGAAACACCACCTTTGTAGAACTGCTCGGTTGTGCTCGCTTCAGTTATTCCTCAGAAGTAGAAATATCGTTTCCTTCTACTGAGTATTCCGGATTAAAATAAAACACTACCAGAAAAGTGAGCTAGATGTCAACAAGGAATTCCAGCCAGTAACACCGCTGGGAACTGCTTGAGTCCAGACATCCCAGAAGAGTTCAGGAACGGGGTGTCCAAAGCTTCAGGAGTTTTGTAACTGCTCGCTGAGCTTCGCAGGAAGAACCCAACCCAGATGCTTAGAACGGGATCAGCACTGAGCAGTTTCACCCTGCCTGCCATGGCATGAGGGATGCCACACACATCCTACAGCACCTGGCATCACATGCTACTTCCAAGCCCCTGAAACCTCAATAATCACAAATTCCACACTTCCAGATTTTATTAACAAGACGGTGACACCTTCCTCCAAAGCAGCAGGATCTGCTCCACATGATGGTGCTGCAGCAGATGCTTTGGATAGGGGAAGGAGCCCCAAAGAGAGTAAGAACAGGAGGAAACCCGAGTGAGAAACTCCAACCTGAACCGTTGCTTGCAAACAACCAACGTGGCAGCACAGAGCAAGACCCAGTGTGCAAAGCTCAGCATCATTAGCAAACAGCCCAGGAAGAACTGGGGAGTCTCTTGTCAAAGTCCATAAGAGGAGCACTTGACCAGCCTGGGAGATCCTTTTCCGAGAGCATGGAGACCCTACTGTCATCCACACCGCAGCTCACTGCCCATGCCAGTGCTCCCACTCCCAGCAGCCTCCAACCTTCCTCTGCAGGCAAGCTTTCAAGGCCAACTGCTCCTGCAGCTTCCCACAGAACCTCAAACGCTCCTCTTCAGGGCCACCCATGCCTCACAGAACGAAAACCACCGTCTGCCAGCTCTACAGCACCAATGTCTCTGACTGGGGAAGCAACCCAAGCTATCTGCCTAGTGAGCGGGAGCTGCCCATGACACCAAGCAGGTTTAAGGAAGAGCATCCAGCCTGGGCTTCACCCAAGGCCAAGCAGCCTCCACACAGGCTTCTTCCCCATGGGATTGCTTTCCCCTCTCCACTGCTATGTCTCTTCCAGTTTTAAGTGTTTCAGGCACAAACAAGTTGTCATATTGAACTAATCTGGCAGCAGAACTGCAGGCCCAGAGGGAAGCAATCCTGTGCCGTTGCAGTAACTTAATCTGGGATTTCAATAGGATACAGTACCAGCAAGTCTACTGCCCCCAACCTTTGTGCAGTGCCTAGGCATTGTTCAAGAGCTTTGCCATGCTCTGTGCCCAGCTGCATTCCTGGAAATGGTGCTTATTTAACATGCAGAAGAAAAACCCACCCCAAAAACCACAAGCATCATCAGGCAGCCCCCGGTGCGGAGCCTGGTGGCAATGGGCAACCCCATGCGACACCACATCCAGGGAGCCAAGACTTTACTCCTCACTTGGGTCACTGTAGTACAGCTCACAGGCCACATTTCACTGCAAACCTTGGTTGTGCTGCCACCTGCCCTGTCCCTGTGCAGAGGGAGCACTCCCATGAGTTCACCAGTTCCAAGCAGCCTTCAGTGTTTGACCTTGCTTTTAAAGAGCAACGCCACATATGTGCACAGAGAGGGAGGCAAGTAAAAAGGACAACTCCAGCCCCAGAAAACCGTGGCTGAGCCACAGCAGAGAAACAGCATTAAAGCAGCCCCACGCTTATGTTTCAAGGCAAGAGGAAAGCAATGAATTCCTATGGGATTCAGGGAAAACAAGAAGATTCCCAGCTACAGGTTACAACATCTCTTCTTCCAAGAAGCTGCAGGGAAAAGTGATGCACGTTGCCATTACCCCCCTTCCTTTTCAGCCTACAGCATCCAGAGAGGAGAGTCTCAGCTACTCAGAACAGGAGGCTCCGGAAAAAGAGGTGATACAAAAACATAACAAACTGTTCATTTTATTGGAAACTTTAGGTAAGTTACAGCTTTAGCACAAGGATCTGGTGGTCACATCCGCTACCCCCAGCTGGCTCAGCCCTGCTGGCTCATGCTGGGAGAGCCCCAGCACATCCCAGCCTCAGTTTCCCTTCTCTGTTCATACAATTGATATCTCCAGCCCCCTCTGACAAAGCTTCATGAACACATGCAAAAACCTCTGAAGCTCCAAAGGAAAGGACTGCAGAGGGCAAAGCATTTGGAAATATTTTCCTGCAACACAGGGCAGGTCCAGCACCCGAAGGAGCTCGATGACACGATGGGGGGATGGTGTTTTATCAACATTACGAGCTTTCCTCTGGAGCAAACACATTGCAACTGCAAATCGAGCAACCCCTGTGCATGCAGAGGACAGGATTTCGGGGGGATGCCCCAGACACACCACCACGGTCCCGCAGTGGGTACCGCCGTGCAGCGCTTCACTGGGGACACCCACCGGAGCACCCCGAACCGGCCCAGGGCCCCGCGCTGGGGCACCCGCCCGCGGGCTGGGCCTCCTCCAAGGCCTCCAAACCGGCGTCGACCGGGAATGCCTCGCGGAACCCCTCCGCGGAGCCCGCCCGCGCCGAAGAGCCCCGAGAGCGCTGCGGGGCGGCGCGGCTCCCATTGTTACCGCCAGCCGCGGCGGGGCCGGGCGGGCCTCGGGGGCGCGGCAGGGCCGGAGCCGCCCGGTGCCGCGGCTCAGCGTGCCCAGACCCCCGGCACACAATAGGGGCGAGCAGCCGGAGGGGACCCACCCAGGGCCGTGCGGGAGCCCCCGCGGCGGAGCGACGCCAGGCCGTGCCCGCACCCGGGAGGCGGGCGGGCGCGGGCCGCTTCCGCCCTCATGGCCGCGGCCGCCATTCCCCCCCCCAAACCCCACACCTCACCTCCCCGTCCGCCTCCAGCCCGCCCGCCCTCCCTCACCTGCGGGGGCCGCGCGTTACGCCAGGCCCCGGCTGCGGCCCGGCCCACTAGGCCGCGCGCGGCCCGGCGGTCGGGCCCGGCGGCGGGGCCCGGCGGGGCCGGGAGGGGTGCGCTGCGGCAGCGGGGGGTGAGGCGGCACAGAGGGGGGGGGGGTGCGGCGGGGTTTACCGGGGCCGCGCGCGGTTCCCGGAGCCGCCGCCGCGCAGCAACTTTACCTGGGTCTCACCACACTGACAACTACCAGCGGCGCCCGCCCCCATCACGTGACGAGGGCGCTCGGGGGGGGACACACACGGAACCGACACGAGGCGGGGCCAGACCGGCACCGTGAGAGAGGGGCGCCTCTCCCTCGTCACGTGGTGGGCGCGCGAGGCGGCTTCGCGGCCGCCATGTTTTGCGGCCTCAGGCCGCGCCGGGCCGGGGATGGCGGCGGCCGGTAGCAACTGGCTCTCCGGGGTGAACGTGGTGCTGGTGATGGCCTACGGCAGCCTGGTGAGCGTGCACCGGCACCGGGGGACCCCGGCCGTGCGGGTCCTTGCGGCCGGCTGTCCGCGGGGACGGCTCTGTGGGGCTGGGCCCGGGGGCTCCGTGAGGCGGGAAGAGGACGTGAGGAGGAGCCTCTGGGGGGGGTGTCTGTAGGCCTGAACCAGGCCCCGTGGGTTTTGAGGGGTAGATGGCACCTTGTGGTTGTTGGTGCGGGGGTGTCGGTGGGGCTGAGGTGCAGCCTGACCCCCCCGTCCCGCTGCTCCAGGTCTTTGTGCTGCTCTTTATCTTCGTGAAACGCCAGATCATGCGCTTCGCCATGAAGTCCCGGCGCGGCCCCCACGTGCCGGTGGGGCAACACGCGCCCAAGGTGGGTACCCTCCCTCCCCTGCCTGCCCCCACCCTTTGGGCTCCCACACGCAAAGTGGCTGCTCTGTAACGTGGTGGTTGGGCTTTCTCCCCCCTTCACTGGGCAGGATTTAAAGGAAGAAATCGACATCCGACTGTCACGGGTGCAGGACATCAAGTACGAGCCTCGGCTCCTGGCTGAGGATGATGGCAGGCTCCTGCAGCTGGAGACACAAGGTACCTGTGGCTGTGCTTCAATCAGATACCACCAGAGACACTGTCCTACAGCAACTCATTGCTCTGGGGCCAAGTTGCAGTTCTGGCCTCTTGTTGGCTGTCCCAGGGCAGAGCTGGCGAGGCAACCCGAGGTGGTGTCTCGGCAGTCTGCTCCTCTCTGCTTTTCCCGCCTCCCTCCCAAGTTGTGCAGAGCTCTCAGGTTGGGTTTTCTCTTTGCCAGGCTGCTATAATTACCTGTACAGAATGAAGGCGCTGGATGCAATCAGAACATCTGGTAAGTGAACTCAGGGCAGGAGGGACAGGGGAAGGAAAGGTAGAGACCATATGTGGAGGAAATAGGGGGCCAGCAGCCTTGTGATCGTGCTCAAGGCCCTTGTTTGGGAATAGCGTTCGCGTATCCTGTCTGGGACCAGTGCTCTGAGGGTGGATCTGCTTTTGGGGTGTAAGGAGGCTGCAGATGTGGTGGGAGGTTTAATCAACTCCAAGGCCTGATGTCTGCGGGTGACCAGAACAGTTTGTACCTGCACTTTAGCTGCTTGTGGGGTGCCTTTTCTTTCCCTAGAGATCCCGTTTCATGCAGAGGGCCGGTACCCCAAGTCCTTAATAGGGAAGAACTTCTGTGCCTACCTGCTGGAACTGCGGAACTCCAGCACCTCCTTCAAAGGCATCCGCAAAGCCTTGATTGACACCTTGCTGGATGGGTACGAGAGCGCCCGCTACGGCACTGGGGTGAGTGCTGGCGCTGCAGTGCCCGGGCTGGGCCCTGCTGCAGCCACCGCTGCTTCTGACATGGTCCTTTCTGCTTGTGTCCAGGTCTTTGGGAAACCAGAATATCTCAAGTACCAGGATGCTCTGAATGAGCTGGCAAACATGTAAGTGTTGGTGTCCCTGCCCATGTCAGGGGCTTGGAACTGAATGATCTTAAGGTCCTTTCCAACCCTAACTATTTTCTGAGTGAGTGTCCCTGGCCAGGGGAGTAGCTGGGTGGTGGCTTCATGGGCCCCAGCAGCCCATCGCTGAGGTGTGAGCAGAGACACTCCTGAGGCAGCACCCAGCCTCTGTCTGTCCTTCCAAGTATACTTATTCCTTGCAGTCCATATGATGGTGTGGTTTTGGATTTGCTGCTAGTTCCGGTCCATAGTCCTGGTTGTGCTTTGAGCCTCTCCTCTCCCTGCAGGACCAAGGCCCGGGCAGGCAGCAGCCAGCGGCAGCACCAGTCAGCAGCAAAGGACCTTACGCTCTCTCCTGAAGTCTCCAACCCTGCCACCATCCAGGTCACCTATCTGCCTTCCAACCAGAAGAGCAAACGTGCCAAACACTTCCTGGAGCTGAAGAGCTTCAAGGACAACTACAACACACTGGAGAGCACCCTGTGAGCCAAGGCAGAGCTGATTGCACTCCGGGGCCCTGCCACAAGCAGAGCCTCTTGTGAGGTGCAGGCGGGTCCTGAGCAGGTTTTGGCTGCAGTTTGCTGTGCAGGGAGCATGGGGAGGAAGCGGCTGTGCTCTTGGGTCTCCCTCTTGCACCGTGTTGGAGGCAGTCACTCAGTGGAGGCTCTGGTGCAGCTCAGCCCTCACCCGGAGCCGGTGTCAAAGCAGCCCCTGATCCTGGAAGGGATTGGCCCGTGCAGCCCCCTCTGCAGGCGTGGGACATGGGCTTGAGGCTTTGAGTCCAGCAACGGCTTGGAGCCCTGGCCCTGTGAATAAACTGATTAGCTTTAGCTTGTTTCTAAGAGACATCAGGCCCAGCCAGAGCTCTGCTCCACCTCTCCTCCTCCTCCTCCTCATGACTGGAGGGGGCTGCTCCTGTCTGTCCATCCTGGCTGTGGGTCTCAGGCTCTGGAGCTGCTCCTCTGCTCTTTCCAAAGGGTGAATGCTCTTTTCCCTGTGGCCCCATCACTGCTGTCAGCCGGGTGTGCCCGGGCTGTGCACCAGGGTTCCTGGACAGAGTGTAAATAGCTTGGTGGCCAGTTCTCAGTCCCTGTGGCTGTGTTTTCTACTCTTTTCTCCTGCAACTGGGCATCTGGGGACATGTTGAGCAGACAAATACCAGCTTCCAACGTCCTGCCAAGAAGGGTTTCCTCCTATTCTCACCAGCGCCTCGTGTGCCAGTGGCTGCCGAGCCCTGGGGGGGTGAAAGCTCACGGCCCCCACCTCGATGTCTGCATCCTGCCAGGCCGCCAGCAGCCCCCACTGCTCCCCAGTCCAGTCATCACAGCGTGGGGGGACCCTGCCCCTCGCTGGGCCTCTGCACTCTTTTTAATGGCTGTTTAATAAAATGACAGTTAACCCTGAGCAGGGTGTGGAACGTCAGCCTCTGACTGCAGGAAGCCCTCCCCTGCCACATCCAGAGCCATATCCATCCCCATGCTGCTGCCACGGTAATGGGGATGCTGTTAAAGGTGCAGAGGGTGGTTGTGGTGTCCCTGGAGCAGTGGCAAGCAGGCAGCCCCCCTTGCAGGAGGTGGGATGGGGCAGCGTGGTGGCTGTCCTGGGTTCCTGGGGACAGTGGGGTGCAGCCTTCCCCTTGTGTGGGTTGAGCCCCACAACCCCCAGAACGTGTAGCTTTGGTTGCAGGTTCTGGGGAAGGGGGGTACCTGCTTCAGGCTTCTGGAGAGGCTTCTGGCAAAGGGAGCGCCCCTGTGCTAGGGGCAGCAGGGGAGGGGGACCTTGACCCTGTAGACAGGCTGGGGGGACAGAATGGCTTCATAGAACCATGGAATGGTTTGAGTTGGTAAGGTCCTTAAGATCATCCAATTCCAACCCCCTGGCATGGACAGGGGTCTCCGTAGACCATGCCACCCCAGGTTCCGGCCAGCCTGTCCTTGAACACCGCCAGGGATGCAGCATTCACCACTTCTCAGTTGAGCATGAAGCACATGGAGCACGACGGGGGGCTGCGCCTGCTGCACCCTGGGCATTGCCCTGTGCAGATGCAGGGGAAGGAGCAGCCCAGCAGCTGATTCCTGTGGCTGGGACATGCTGGATCCAGGAGGTGGCAGCACGACCGGTACGCTCCTGCCTGTGTCCTGCTCCCAGCATGTGTGGAGCCCGCCTCGGCCGCACTCTGCTGTCCCGTGGGGCTCCCGGCACAACGCACTGGGCTGGCTGCGATGTCCGGGCACCCCTGAGCCCCATCTGCACCCCAGCTGAGGGGGCCCATCCCCTTCCTCCCCCCCCCGCTGCCTCTGCCTGACCTTGGTGTCTCCCAGCCCCAGGGCCCATCAGCGCCTGCCCTGACTCTGCTTATTGACAGGGCTGGGGGCTGCGGGGCCAGCACCCCCTGCCCACAGCCCTTCATTAGCTCTGCTGTCGGGTTGCATCACATCAGCTCTGGCTGAACACACGCCCCTGGCTCCTGGCACTGCTGCTGTGTCCCTGCTGTCCCCTGTGCCACCTTCCACATGCAGCCCCTCTGGTCCTGGACAAGGTTTGGGCTCTGGCTGCCCCACGGGCAGCCCAAGGTTTAGGCCCCCTCAGAGCCTGCAATGCCATCCCAAGGTCAGTGTTTCCCACTGTGGCGCAGCACTGGCATGGCATGAGGACACACGTGCCCCCAGCCCTCCGAGACACTCTCATGTCTGGATGCTACCAGGCAGGACCCAGCAGCCAGCCCGGAGCAAGCTGGGGGTCCTGCCTTTGTCCCCCAGCAATTAGCAGCACAGGGGGGCTGCATCTGCATGAGGGATGGGGAAGGGTGCCAGGAATCGCCTCCTGTGGATGGGGGGTACCAGCAGCTCCCCCCAGGGTGAGGGGACACAGGCACAGGAGGAGGGGACGTGGGGCATGAGCCACAGCGCTGGCTGGGGCTCGTCCTTGGGCAGAGTCTACCAGGACAGGGCTGGCTCCCCACTATTGATGGTTCCGCTAATGATGCCGGCGTGTGACTGGGGGCAGGAGCAGGCGGTGCTGGGTCCTCATCGACCCGTATCGACCGGCCCTGTGTGGTGAAGGGCATGGGGTCTGTGGGGGGATGTCAGTGGGTCGTAACTAATGGGAACGGTGCCATGTGCGCGGGGCCGGGGTGGCTGAGTGCAGTTATAAACAGCGGCTGGCAGCCCCCGAGCCGCAGCATCGAGGGACCCCCTAGCCCAGGTAAGGCGGTGATGGACGTGGGGTCCCCTTGGCGCGTAGGGACAGAGGGGCAGCATGACCCATGCCGTGCTATGCCGAACCAGGCCATGGTGTATACGCTGCCCTGCTCTGGCTTTGTCCCTGCTGCAGGGCCCCTCCTGCTCCAGCACTGCTTCCCAGATCATC